TGAGCTATATGATGGCAGCTCTTCCTCTAGTCGCGGATGACCTGAGATGGAGCTCTTCCTCTAAGCGAGGTTGAGCTATCATCATTTACATGTTGATCGCCTAGCTCGGTCTTTGAGAACATCTCGAAGATCCCCGTTGAGATGCGGATATTGGATTCTTCGTGCATGCCATAGCTTTGTTTGGTAGGAATGACTTAAAATGTCCTTTCTCACAGACGACGCCAAATGTTTATGCAAAAAATGTGACGGGGTATAACCTAGTCAAGGCCGACCACGTGGAAGAGTTGAACCTGCTCTAGGTATGACCGCGAGAAGAGCTTGGGTATCCTTGGAAAGAGATGACCAGCTCAAAGGGTCAAGGTTGACTGACTGGGATGAGCTGAAGTGTCAAGGATGAGCTGAAGGCCACTTGRCTAGGAAAGACCTGCATAAGGGAATAAACACTCTGACGCTCAAGTCAGTTTAGTCTGACCTCAATATGGAGACCGAGCTAGAATACCATACCTGACTGAAAAGTAAAGTGTCATATTTATAGGTTGAGGTATCCGACAAGGAATCCGACTAGCGGTTGAGCATGTCGGGACCAAGGTCGGCTTGTCGRGAGTAGCTATTCCAGTTCATACTCTTGTCATCTGAAATTTAGCTAAGTATGGAAGGTCGTTCCTCCCTTGAATGATCTTCAAGGAAGACCTTCAGATCGGCCTTCAAAGAATGCCTTAGGTCGGCCATTAGGCAAGGCCTTTAGGTCGGCCATCAAGCAAGRCCTTCAGGTCGGCCCTCAGGGAGCTCTTCAGGGAAGATCTTCAGGTCGGCCACCAAAGGAAAGATCTTCAAAGTTAGACATTTCTTTGTCCTCCACGTGGCAATACGATTTTCAACCTCCAAACAGAATAATTAATTTTAAGGTTTTTTTTGTATGTATGGAGTTGTCCAATCTTAAATTAATGCAAATGATGAATGAAATTTATTAACAATTAATGATTAATGATGTGTTAATAATTGATGGACAACACACCAGGAATAGGACTGTCTACAAGYAAATAATGTATTTGTAATTCATTAAAAATGATTRGGGTAAAATGCTTTAAAACTGGTTTTCAAGAATCCTTGCTTTTTAATATACTAGTTGAATACCACATACAATGCTCGTAATAAAAATATTGATTTTATTATTACAAAAATAATTTATTTAATTAAATTAGTATGTGCTATAAATTTATTTTATTTACTGAAGTACAGCTTTTTTTTTTTTTAAATGATATGATCTAACTATATAATATGAATCAAATCAACATATGATATCTTATTAAATTTTAAATTAATTTATCATCTTTTTAACTATTTTCTTGTTTATTATTAGTACATATAGGTTTAAATTTCTTAATTATTTTCTTATTTTTATTAACATAAAACTTTCAAAGTGTAAATAAATTGAACGCACACAATTTTATAGTTATAGTTGGAGAATTATAAATTTTTTGACACTCCAAAATTTTCATATTCTACAATTTACTAGAATTATATACAAATATTTAGTTATAATTTGTTTATCCACATGAATCCATAACTTTTTACCTACTAACTTTTCATATTCTATTCATTCAATCTCTTTTAGGCATATAAATTACATTATTTTATACAACAATTTTAATGAAGTTTAAGTTACACTCTTTTATTTTTTATCTAAGAATTTTTTATATTCTAATTTTGAAAAAATTATTTTATCTAATTTTTGTTCCTTATTTTTTAACTACACATTTTTTTTTCAATCAAATAAAGATTTTCCAACTTAATTTTTTTAAGGTAATATATTAAAATTTTCAACTTCAATAAAGAAAAATTATTTTAATTATTTGATTTCAAATTATAATTATACCTACTATCTAAAAATTCTTTAACTTCAAGGCGAATGAAATGACAAAAGAAAAATTGTATTATAACTTTCTAGATTACTTACCTATTATTATTGATAGTTGATTAATTAATTAATTTACTATTTATAATTAATTAAAAACTTTGTAAGACAGGATAATTTTTTTCAAACAAAAATAAGATAAGTTTGTAATTATGATATATAAATTATCAATTTTCCACCAAAAATTTTGAATAAAAAATACATTAATTATAAAAGAAAAAAAAACATCTAATAATCTAAGTATACACTCATTCTTTAAAATAATTTTTCTCACTTGATAGTTGATTGACTAATACTATTATTCAATGTGGTAGAATTTTAGAACGCCACTTGCATCACATGAAATCAATCCAAGTACCGCAAAGTATTTAAAACATAAAATTTAATTAAATAGTTAAAATATTAAATACAATTTGATCATTTTCTCTCTCCCTATCTACCTCATCAACATTTTTTAATTTTTTTTCTTTGTAACTAACACAAAAGTGTGGCCTTGCAATAAATCTTATCAATCATTTATCTCTAAACAAATTTGAGAAGTTATAATGATTGCTTGATATATTTCATAATTAAAATACAACGAGCAAGAATAAATAATTTAACACGTATCTATTATAGAAATGGACAAATATTTTTTAAATTCAAAATTTTATCATATCTTTATTATTAGACATTTGGAAGTTTATAAGTTTTAATTTAAATGAAAACAGCAATATTAAGTTTTTTTAAGGTATGCAAGCCTTACTTATCTTATTAAATTTTATGGCTTTTTTTGAGTTTATTTAAATTTTAAAATTAAATTAAAAGTTAAATTTTACTTTGTTTTTTTTTAGAAGAAAAGGTAAAATTTACTATTAAAATAATGCAATATCCATTATACTTTTATTGACAATATTTAATGCTATTACTTTAATCTATAGTCTTATTTAGAGGAGCATTTTATAGTCTATTTATATAGAAGGATCAAATTCAAACAATTTAGATAAATTTCATCCAGAAGAGAGAAGATTTCGTAAGTTTTTTAAAAGATCAATGTTATTAATTTTCAAGACCATAATGTTTTGTTGGCTTTTCCCAATGTGAAATAAATGATGATTTATTATTACACAAAGGAAACATAAATATTCTGGAAAAAAACTAACATCCCACTCCTTACAGGAATGGGGCAACAGTAAAGCTTCCAAATTATCGTTATTATTATTATTTTTTATAAAAAAGCTTCAAAATAATTGAATTAAATATAAAAATAAAAAGTAAACTGATTTTAAAATTATAAAATTTAAAATAAAATACAGCAAAAATCTGTATAAACAAAATACAATATTAAAACTAATTTCAACTTTGACAAGTTGTCATCACGTATGCAATAGAATGTAAAAATTGGAATTTTAGCAGTGTGAAACAACTAAGAATCCATAAATCACGAATTTCAGTTTACATGTTTTTGTCGATTTATATGCCACCTAGAAAACTAAAATAACCCTAAATATAAAATGCTATCAAATACCAAGGAAAAATAAAATCATGATCTGGACTCTAGACTCAACAACAACTTCAATGGCGGCAAGCAGCGGTGACCTCTCAATCGTGGTGAGCAAGATATCCTGAAGAAAAAATTCAATCTTTTTTTTTTTTTTACATTAATCAAGGACCGAAAAAAAATCMCTTTTCAATTTCAATTTTATATATTTTTAATTAAATTAATCAGCAACCAATATATTTTCAATTCATGTCTCTCCAATTTCGATTTCAATAGAGAAATTTGAAGAAGAAACAATGTAAGGTACCTCCATTTTATCCATTGGCACACATTCTGCTCCATCCACCTCTAACATTCCATGAAGATTGGAGCTTCGAAACTCCAAATCGTTGAAACTCTCCTTAAAAAATGTTATTTCTCTGTGTCAATGTAGTTGGGGACCGTCTCCACATACACCTTCATCTCGTACTCTCTAAGATTTTTTTTTCCTCTGCTTGTGTTGTTATTTCGAGATTGGTTTATAGATTTATAGACCCTAAGAGGAAGATGAAAGGATTAGCGAGAGGAGGATAACTTGGGTAATTGGAGCATGAGAAATAATGAGAGTGCATAAATAAATTACCAAGAGAGAATAATGGAGAATAATGGAGGAAGTTAGAGAGGTGGGAAAGTGAAGAGAATAGAAAATTTTAGAGGGATGGATGAGAGAGAATAATGACGGAAGTTAGATCGTGTGGGAAAAGACAAATCTAATTATTTATTTTAATATATATTTTTATACTTTTATTTTTTAAATATTATTTAACCAACTTTTGAAATTCTATTATTAATTATATAATTAAAGATAAAGTCATTAAGTTTTATAAATAAATTGACAAAAATTTTATTAAAACTTTTCGCATTATATTCCTTATTTTTTTCATTCTAACTTAAATAAAGAAACTAAAAAGACAAAAAGGAAAAAAGGAAAAAAAAAATAACAATAATAATAAAATTAAATTATAAAAAGTAGAAGAGAGAGGGGTTGCGTGGAGAGTGAGGGAGAGAGAAAGGAGATAGTGAATTAGTGGGAATTTAAAGAGATTTGGTAGGTGAGATTTGGAAGGGAAAGAGTTGAATGACAAAAATGCCATCAAAATAATAAAGAAAACCTTAAATTTAAGGGGCAAAATAGGGAGGAAGCCTGTTTTATATATACTAGTACTAGTAAGAAACAAGTGTAATCTTATAGTTCTAAATTAAAGGAAAACAAATAGTATTTTTAAAGTTTATAATATTATCAAAGAAAAGTGACTATATATATATAGTATGAATTCAAGGTATGATATTGTTATAATAAAAGAAGAAGATGAAAGATTAGCATGGGAAGCAAGCACAAATTTGAAGTATAAGAAAGATGAAAAAGCACCAACGTGCAAGTTTTTTTTTTTTTAAATGAATGAACGTGCTTAATTTACCTCTAATTTTATTATATTACATTTTATCTTTGTTAAATTTTGTGACGCTAAATCATTGAGTTTGTTCATTCTAGAATGAAAATGGAATGTAAGAGTGAGAGAAAGAGAAAAGGTCCAACCTGATGATATTGAGAGGGATAAAAATTGTTGTTTTTTTTTTTTTTGCAATAACTTTGTAAAACTAATTACAACATTTCACATACATAAATCAAAAACATCACTTTAAAAAAAAATCAAACTTATAAGCATTCCCATTATCCAATTATGAGAAGCATCAAATTTTGGTTTATCTCGATTCCATCAACCATCATCTCGACACACCGTAATTTCTTCCAATCTGAACAATGATAAATTTTGGGAAAGCGAACTGATGCCATCAACTTTCCATAATCTTGCCTCGATGCAATTCAGCTTTAATTTGGTTTCTCTTCACTATGAATTCTTCTCTCGACAACCCATATATGTGCATTGTCGTGGTCGTTGCTAAAGCAAGAGAGTAATCTACATACCTTCACACCACTTGGAAAATTTTCCACTTTGTTCCATCACCACCTCTTGATTTTTGGTTGGCATGAGAAAGAGATGACACATATTTATATATGGATTGGAAAGCAGTTACGAAGATGAATGGATTGGGAGAGGGCATGTGATAGATGAAAGGAGTTAAAATAAATCAATAAGAAAGATAAAAATAATGAAAGAATAATTAAAAGAGAGAAAATTAATAAGAGAAAATAGGGGAATTTAGAGAGGCGGGATCGTGACGGAGAGGAGTTAAATTGAGAGAGGTAAAGTTTGTATTTAACTGATACAATTGTCATCCAAACAAAAGTGAAAAGTACAAGGTTGAGAGAAAAATGGTACATATAGAGTTTATTATATAGAATGGAGAGGGAGAGGAGAGAAAAGCTTCAAATTCTAGCTAGGAATAAAAAATAAATTAAATAGATGATAAAATTTTTTCATATTCTAACATTTTAAAATTAAGTGAAATTAGAATTTTAGGACAAAAAGGAAAATAAAAGATAAATGGTTACTTGGGTAGGTTAATTTGAATAATGCATTTGGATGGTGGAAAAAAATGAGTGGAGAATAAATGTGAAAGAAATATAAGTAGAGAATTAAGATAGAGAATGAATTTAAGAAAAAGAATTTGTATAGGTGGAGATAAAGTATTTTAAGGGGAAAAAAAAGAAGAGATAAATGGGGGAGCGGGAATCCAAATGAGAGAGAAGAAGAAAGTAGGAGAGGTAAATTATAAAAATGAGTTATGAAAGAAGGCAGAATTGACTTAAAAAGTTTTTCTCCAATCCACCTTTTAGGTATACTATGGATTATAGATTATAGATTATAGATATTTTTATTTATTTTTCTTTTTAAAATAAATTTCAATTAAAATAAATAATTTTAACTTTTGTATAGTTTTTTGTTTTTTGTTTTTTTACAAAATATATCTAATTAAGTTTATATCATAGAACTATTTTTAATTAATCTCATATCATATTTTTTTATAGAAAAAATATATATATATTTTTAAATATGAGTAAAAATATATCAATAGAATAAATTATAGAAAAATATCACATATATATAATGACAACGTAAAAATTAAAAATTTAAAAATTTAAAATTTCTGACAATAATTAGATTAAGAAGACCACAAATCTATATTTTAGGTTCAAGACAATAGGGTGATAACTGTACTATTTAAAATGATGGAGAAGAAAGTTATTTTAAAAGTTTATAATTAGAATATTTCACGGTATTTTCTTTTTTATATTTTTATAATTGACATATTTGTATTAATAAAATTTTTAATTATTTTTATTAAAAATAATATAGAATCATGAATTCTATTAATTTTTTTCTTTTTTTAAAAAAATTGAAGTATTTAGGAGAAATAAGTTTCAATTTTAGAATTCAGGTCCGTGCGAATTTAATTATATAATTTTCTTTTCTTTTTTAGAATTGAAATATTTTTATAATAAAAAATAAGGTAAATTGTAAAAACTACCGTTGAAGTATGATGGTTGTTACAATTACACCATTTAAACTTTCAATTGTAAAAATTAAACCCTCGAACTTTTATAAATGAAAAAAATTAAACTCTCAAACTTTCAATAGTAAAAATTAAATCCCTAAACTTTCACATATGATAAAATTGTACCCTCCAAATTAAAATTAAACTCTAAATTTTTTTAAAAGGGTCTTTTTTTACAATTCCATCCATATTATGTGTTTTGCTCTTCAATATCCGATTTTGAAACAATTTTTATAAAGCCTTTTTCTTCGAGACTTGCCGAGAAATATGAGAAGAGTGTTGTTGAAATTGCTCTTAGGGACGCCGAGAGATTGCTCAAAGTTTTTAAGTTTAAGCTTATAAAAGAAGACATGAATAATTCTATCGGCGGAATTAATAGGAAATACCAACTGCCCCGCCAAGTTTTGGGGCATAGATTTGTACGCATAGGTAATTAAAAAACTGATACTTTTCAAGATCTGATGTTGAAAATTGAAATGGAAAATAATGTCCACTGTTTTGTTAAATTCCTCACAAGTTAATGAATGATGGAGCATATTCCCATTTGTGAACTACTGCTTGTCTGCAAAATAGAATATCCAAGAACAGAAAAAATGTTTATTTTAAAATTGTCAAATAGATACAATTTTTCAAAATTTTTGAATTAGAAGGTGCAAATTTATCACATGTGAAAGTTTAGAGGTTTAATTTTTAGTATTGAAAGTTTGAGGGTTTAATTTTTACCATTAAAGTTTAAGTGGGTAATTTTAACAACCACCATACGTGACTTTTACAATTTACCCTAAAAAATAATTGGAGCTATACTTCAGCGAACCATGTACCAAGAAGTGAGTTTTGTGGCTAATAAAGAAATGATATATATCCAACCAAAATCACAACCAATGCATGCTATTTTCATCCCTAACACCTGGCTTTTGGAACTTACATCAAACTGATGTAACAACTGTCCAGAAATCACGGGCAATGACAGCGGTTTCCAGTGACATCACAACCAATTTCACTACTTTCTAGCCTCTATTATTTATATAATTATTTTTAAAAAAAAGTTAATTCAATTATAGTTTTTACTAATTTATTATTTTCTAATATTTTTGTATAGTTTAAAATAAACTACAAATTTCACATACATCCCACGTGTTTTTCACAAATTGAGCCAAAATCGTAGCCAATACATATGATTTTCGTATCTAACACATGGCTTTTAGTAGTCACATCAAACCGATGTCGCAACTGTCTAGAAATTAAAGATAATGAGAGCATTTTCACTGACATCACAATCGATTTCACTGCTTTCTAGCCTCCATTATTTATATAATAATTATTAAAAAAACTAATTAAATTATAATTTTTACTAATTTATTATTTTCTAATATTTTTTTATACTTTAAAATAAACTACAAATTTCACGTGCATCCCACGTGTTTCGCTTTCTCCTTCGGCTGCGTCGTCTCTGTTCAGCCTTTAGAAACCACAAAAATAATGTAGCGAAAAAATATGAAATTAGATATAGCATTGTATATAAAAGAAACAATAAAAATTAATTTAATATTCATATGACATAGTATTTGTGCAATTTTATTGTATGAAAATTTTATTGATATAATGTGAAATAATTTTAAAAAGATAATGGAAATAAGAATAAAATATTAAAATTCCTTCTACTTTTAAAAAGCTAATTAAATTATAATTTTAGGTAAGTTATTATTTTATAATACTTTTTTATACTTTAAAATAAACTACAAAAGATGTACGTGTTTCTCATACGTTGAACCAAAATCGTAACCAATGCATGTGATTTTCATCTCTAACACGTGGCTTTTAATGGTCACATCGAATCGAAATCCCTGTCTAGAAATCACGGGCAACGAGAGCTTTTTCACTAACATCACAACCAATTTCACTATTTTATAGCCTCCATACTCTCCGTCAACAACAATAACCTCTTACTCCTTCAAAAACCTCTCAACCTTCAGGTGATTTCTTCCTCTAATTGGACTGTTTATTATTTTTATACTTCCTCTGTTGCTTTCTAATTTCTTTTCAATCTCTGTTTTGGTTTTTTGAACTGCGAAAGAAAACCGTTTGTTATTTTTTTTTCTTAATGATCTTTTTGATGGTTAGAGTTCAGATATATATATTGGGATTTAATATTATTTGCATTATGTCTGTTCGATATTTGTGGATTTAGTTTATTATTTCACTTTGTTGTAGTTTATTTAACTTAAATATACCATTAGTTTATTATTTCTCTCTAATGCCATTGATTATTTCCATGCTACTTCCTCTATTTATGTTGTTCATGATGCTTTCTTGTTTTTTCTTTATAATTTCTATATGATCGTGACGCTTTCTCTTTGGTTATGTGGAAATATTATTGAATTATTTTTTCTTGTTTTTGTAGGGAATATACCTGGTTATTTATTGATTTATTTTTTATAGTTTTTGTGGGGAATATTTTTGTTTAGTGTATCTTTTTCACTCCTTATTAAAGAAATTGCGTATCTGACAATCTTGTAGTTGAAATGAAAAAGAGGAATAAGCTACGAGCAAAGTATGTTTATGTCTCTATATCAGCCCAGTGGACACTCTTCGACAAAGAAATATTGAACTCGAAAAAGTTAATTTTGTGGGTGTTCTTCTGCTACGTGAGTATCATAGACTGAGTTTATTGGTTGATTTTCATTGCTAATGAAGAGACAAATTAGTAGTTCGTCACTTAGAGAAGCAACGAAATTCTCTTTCGTCGCAAAAAAGGCGACGAAAGGAACATTTTTCGCAATAACAAGCATCAAATGACACTGTTTTGTTTTTTTGCAACTAAACTCATGTTTGTCGCCAAATATAAACGATGTCATTTTGGTTGAAAAACTTCACTGAGTATATATATATATATATATATGTTGTTTCTGTAGGCAAAGTCTGCGAAAAACAAAGGTTGGATCCAACACACTATCATCCGACAAAAGGTCGGATCGACGAATCCGGTTGTATTGCACATGTAAGTACTCATTTAATGATGCATATATAAGTATTTATTTAATGATGGAATTTTAATGATAATATCTAATCAGAATTCTTACTTGATATTAATTAGTGGAAACAATAAAGGAAAATGTCGTGAATCAACCGAACAAGACGCGATGCAGACAATCCTTGGCTAAAGAATATCCTACAAGAAGGGGATGAGATCTGGTCCGAGACCAGAAAGTAAAGAAAAAGGTGGTAGTATACTCCCAAAAGTATGTTCAGACTTTGGAAGCTCGACTTGCAAAAACTTAAGAATTACTATAAAGTCAACGATATGAATTATTAGAGCCACAACGTTTGGCGGCTGAACGACAATCAAATGAGCAGATGACAAAGATAGAAGGAATTCTTCAAAGATTTACTAGATGAGGGAAAGTTCATCACTGAGTAAGGTACGGAAAAAGAGGTGACAGGATGCTCCCAAGGGTACATCGAACCTTGGAGGCTCGAATTGCAAAAACAGAAGTATTGTTACAGAGTCAATGATAGGTACAACATTTGGCAGTTGAAGAACAATAAAATGAGCAAATGACAAGGACACAAGAGTTACTAGATATGCAACGCTAGGAATATTATAAAAACAAAAGAATTATTACAGAGTCAGCGACAAAAATTATTAGAGGCACAACGTTTGGTCGCTGAATGACAATTAAATGAGCAGATGACATAAAGATGCCAGAGTTATTGGATATGCAATGCCAGAGATACGAGAGAAAGTTTGAGAAGAAATTATTTAGAGATTTGCTGAAGGAGGAGGAAGTTCATCACTGAGTAAAGTACAAAAATTTTGAATTTCTTTTATATTCAAGTTTATGTAATATGTTATTGAATATGAATTTTGGTGAAGTTCTTTCTTTAATATTGTTATTGGAGCTCGAGCGCATGGAGAGGGATAGTGCCTAATGTGAAATTTGATTTAGACTTTGTTTGTTGGAGCTTTTCATTTTTGTGCCTCATGTGTCTTCTATTTGTTGTTGGAGCTTGAGAAATATGTTTCTGTCTTCCATAAATGTGAAATTTGTTGTTGAAGATTGTATTTTCGAACAAGTCTTATATTTCTTATTGGAGCTTTTGAACTTTTGAATGTGTCTTGTGTTCGCTTTAATATTGTTGTTGGAGATGATTTTTTTTTAAATGAAGTTTGTTTCGGAGTTTGTTGGAGTTTGATAGTGGAGCTTGAGAATTATAGTTATCTTTGATGAATGAAGTTTAGAATGTTAAATTTGTTGTTGGAGCTTATATTTTTTTAATGTTAACTATGTTTAATGACTGTATCTTATATTTTTATTTTGTATTCTATTTTTTGGTTTTTGGTTTTCTTTTTTTAGGGATTGTGTCTTATATTTGTTGTATCATGTATTATGATTTTGATCACATGCAATTATTTATGTAGGATTGGAACATAATGTCTAATGATCGTGTCGTGTTATGCTTGAAGATTCGATAAATTTGTAACTATTGTAGTAGATGATATGTAAACAACTTATATTTTATATTAACACTGGGTACGTTTTTCTTTTGAAGTTTGGATTGTATTATGTGTTTAAATTATTCTTAGTGTGTGACTTTTAATTCATTTTTATTATCATTCTATAATATTTTTTTAGAATCGCTTAGGAAGTATAGGTAATGTTAAGCAGATAAAATTGAGCTCTTTTTTTTTTTTTTAATTTAACGACCAAATAATGAAAGTATCATTATATTTAGCAATAAAACTGCATAATGTTACAATACAAAAACGGAGGAAAAACAAGAACGTAAACTACGACAAAAAATCGTCGCAAAAGCAGCAAAACTACGAAATTAATGTTCGTCGCTTAATCAACGAAACATGATTTTGCCGTGGAGTTATGCAATGCTTTAGTTTTCATGGTTGAAATCCTTTTTGTCAACTCCAATCAGACGGGTGTTGAGAATAAAACATTTTCATTGTTGCTCAATTTTTTTTATGGTGCCACCAAAATCAGGAAACTATCTCAAATGGTTGAATTTATTGATGTTATTTCATGAGTGTCAAATTTTTTCAAATTTTACCTGTCTTGATTTGAAATTCACTTCTTTGTCCCAATCAACAAAATCGAGGAACCCGATAAAACAGACAAATTTTATCTTCATTTTCTTTCCTCCTATATTAGCCCAACTTCCAAGACTATATTTCTTTTCAACGTTTGACTTAAGCCCCGAGCATGTCCTTCCAGCTTTTCTTTTTTACATAGAAAAATGAGTCTCAATTAAATCTCATATATAGTTCTTTCACCTCACCACCATCTCCTCTTTCTTTCATCTTCGTCTCCTCTTATTTTCACCTCTTCTCCAATCAGTTGGATCCTCTTCATTCCTGTTATCTCCTCCGCTTTCCTCTAACTCCTTGATGAGCAGAATCCCAAACGATGACCAGGTAGGCAGCGTCTCCGTCCCTCATCAATGTTGCCCTCACCTTTCTCTCACTGTAGTCTCTTTCAAACTTGTCTCGAGCCGGCAACATACTTGCACCGGGTAGGCATGATGAACTTGCGACGACCTTGACACCCTAAACCTCCACTAAATCTCGCTAATCGGTTAACTCGCCTACCGAGCCGAAAAACTGAGGATTTATCGGTTCGGCACGGTTCAATGTTGAGTTCGGTCTTTCTTTTATTTTATATTTTTTAATTGGTTCTGTTTTGATTTTACTTCAAAGCTGGGTCGAACCGACCACTTACATCCCTATCCAATATTGCCCTGAATTAATACCATATTTTAACATTTATTTCATGGCTTCTGCTATTTATTTCAAAATGGGTAAATATTGGAATTATGACATATGTTTTTATATTGAATTTATGGCCCTCCAATATTCCTTATATTTTTATTATATTTTGTAAATAATTTCTTACCATTTCCATTTTAGTGTATATAATCACCACATATGACTAAAATTTTCACCACCTTTTTAAGTTCTTATTTTTCTGTCAATTTACGATTGCTCTATTTTCGACGGTTTTATACGTATTTTTTTTCAAACATCTGATGGCTTTACATTGATTTACTATTATATTATTTTTTCTTATGGTTTTTTTTACTTCCCCCGTTATTAAGTTTCTCAAACTCATAACAATGGCTCAATCGTTCTTTCTTGGATTTAATTTTTTTCGGCAATCCATTAGTTTTTTTAGGGCTGAAAATTCTAACGACATTAATATAATATAATTTCTACTCTAATATAATCTACAGTATGATATATATATATACTCGTCCAAAATATTATAATATTTGCCTTTTATTGGTATGTACTAAATTATTAGGTTATATAAAATATACTTTTTAAATAAATCTATAGTATGACAATAATATATCCACCCAATATGTTATATAATGCATATATTTTGGTGGTATATACTAAATCATTAAGTTATATAATATATATTTTTTTGTCCAATGTGTTATTAACACATACACATTTTATTGACATTTTTCTTCGTAAGATTAAGTTATTATTAAGTTATATAATATATATTTTTTTGGTGGCATATCTCAAGCTGTTTCAGTCGTTCTTAGAGGAAATTGCGTACCTTGTTAGGTGGGTGGAGTGTCCCTTTTATAGGTAGGCGGGAGGGAGACAAAGTAGTTAGGTGGTTACGACATGCGGTTACAATTGTCGGGCCCCCCAAGTCGGTGGTCGGATGTGAGGTGGGGGACTATGGTCGGTGAACATCTTTTCTTTCACCTCAGCTCGATATGGATCAACTCGGTGGGTCCCGATAGTCCATTTTCTGCGATATGGTTGCTCCGAACTGAGTTGATGTTTACACGTGCCAATTTTCATTTTGACCACCAACATTGGCCCCCTCTTTGGCAAAGCCGAGCTGCACTTTGGTAGAGAAGAATTAGGAGAATAAAACAGTTTTTGTTTTACCTGTCGTGACACGAGCTGAGTTCATTTTTTCAACTGTCCTGACAGAATGTGCAACGATGCTCTGACAAGTGATACGCGTGCATGGTTTTTTCGTGCTTCGAGGTATGATTTGGTCCGCGCATCGGTGGGTATGTGGATGGTTGGGATTGCTTTCAAAATCTTGTATATTAGGGCACCCATGAGGTCTTCATTTGTCACGTTTTTCAGACTTTTGCTCTCGTGACAACCTGAGTTGCAGATCGCTTCTCGTCTTAGAGGTCAGTTCTCTCTCTTAGCTTTCCGTCGCTGTTCATAAATATGTATAGGGTTGATAGTTGTAAGCGTAGTTCGAGAAGCGGTGGACATAGCAGCTCGTCGTCGAGCTACTCTATCTTAGATTCGATACTCATTCCTGGAGGTGAGGAGAAAATCCTTACGAGCATAGGTTGTTTAGACTTCATTAAGGAAAGTATGAGATTCCTTACTGAATAGGCATTAGGTATCCTGAGCGAGGTGAGGACTTTGGAAGAATCGTCGGCTGGACACGTAGGGTTTTAGCTGAGAATGTTCGAGTTTGGTGTTGTCTTCTTCTGCCTACCTTTGCTCAGGAATTTTTAAATGAGGTACATTTAGCACCAGCTAAACTCGCTCCCAATGGATGAGGTATGTTGTATGACTGCTATTATCTGTGGTGGAAGGAGAGTGAACGGAGAGATCGTGAGGGTATTCAACCTACCGAGCTCCTTACAGTCGACCAGATGCTTGGTACCCATATCTTAAAGAGTGTACCCAAGCTAGAGTCTAAACACTACTTCTATACCCGCTATGGGACTAAACTAGTGATCAAAGGTCCTTCCTCAATTAAGGATTGGAAGAACCAGTGGCTTATGACTGATGAGTACGAAGAGCCACTTCATGCGGTGTCATGTAGCTTTAGTAACCTAGCTAAGAGCTTCCACTCAAAGCTCATTCTTGTGTACTTAGTCTGCTTTAAACTTCTATTTCTTATACAGTAACTCCCAAACAAATCCCTAAGGTAACTAATCTGACGATTCACCAAACTGACGTGAACAAACGCACTACCAAGCTGCTACATACAGACGCGACACTCATCGAGTGCAGATTGTACGATTTCTTTGGCGAACTTTCAGACTTTGAAGCTCAGTTAACTCTTCTAGGTAAACCTGTTATTCCTATCATACTTATTTATTTATTATCTGTTTTTTACCAACGTTCTTTTGAAATATCAAAGATGCTTCCTCAAATCTTAAATCGAATTAAGAGGACCGAAGAAAAGGGGTCCACCTCACCTCAGGCTGGTCCCTCGAAGACTGTTCAAGCTCAGAAAGTGGTTCCTTAGACCATCGTGATCTACGCTAGCGCCCCTTCCATTCCCAAGGTCGCTCCTCTCCAAAGAAAAAGGAGAAGAAGAAAAGAAAGAAGAAGAAGGAAAAGAAAGAGAGAGCCGAAAAGAAGGGTCGTGAGGTTGTCCTTTCAGAGAAGAGCGAGCCCTCTACTAAAAAAGCTCAGCTCAAGGCTCATGAGGACTTCAAGTTCCATTTCCGCGTAACCACTGTGAGCAACAAAATTAAGTTGGCTGCTCAAGAGGTCGCTGAAGGGTGTCTTGCCAGATTAGCTCACAAGCAGCAACTAGCGATGATGCTTACAGCGGGCAATATTCAACGAGCCATGGACACCGTAGCTGATGTAAGCTACCTCTTTCTTGTGTTTAGTAGCTTTGTGACCTGACCTGACAATATTTGTATTTTTTACTAGCTCTCGTAATGGTTTGCCAAACGGCTGCTCAGACCAAACATGAGCTGGACTGGTGCGACGAACTGCTTCGTGGAGGGAAGGAGTCTTGCAAGGTGGCCCTTCTTGAGGCCAAGGCTAAAAGAGATGAAAATGTATAGCTTAAGGCCGACTTGCGAGCTGCGAACGACACCCTGGCTGAGATGACTGAGCAGTTGGCCAAGTGCGAGTCCACCATGAATGAGGTCACGATGAGGCTGCACAATTATGAAGAGCTGGAAGTCGAGTCCATTTATCTCAAGCAAGATTAGAAAGTCATACGTGCTAAGAAGGAAGCCCTTCGAAATGAGCTCGATACTCTGCAGGCGAATTGTTGGGTGTGTTGCCTTAAACTCGTAATTTGTATTTTGTAAA